CCCTCTTTTATACTTGTTTCGTTAAAGACGACCGAGAAGCCACTTCGATTAACCTTTTACTTGATTTAAACTTAAACTAACGGTGTTAGTATAGGAAATCCGTTCGGCCCGTGATTCTCCAATTACTACATGCCCCACGTAGAAACCATGATATTTAAACAGATCACTAAACCCAAAATTTAGGTCCGCTACGTCGATGATTTTTTACTTTAACGAAAAACACAAGATAAATAGATAATCTCACAACTAGATGTGAAAAAAAACTCTGTCTTCACCTTTACCGATGTCAAAAACTTTACCTAAGTCAAAAATTAAATTCCCATTCTTAGACCTTGTCGTAGAATACGGTAACAAAAATATCACCACCTCATTGACTAAAAAAAACACAAGCAGAAACTGTTACCACCTTAAATTTAACTTAGATAAAAAAAAAATGCAGTGATAAAAAATCCCTAAAGAGAGCACATGAGAATTCATCTTCTTGTCTACTTTTCCTTAAAGAACTCAACAATACAAAACAGGCACAAGTTACCCTTCCACTTCTAAGTCTCACTCCCACCAGTACCATCCAACTCCTGGTGTTCTGACTCTCCCCCTTCTAAGTCTCACTCCCACTAGTACCATCTACATTTATGTTTGTTGTGGAGTTCACTATACTACAGCTTTTTCAACCTGCCTGAGGAGATCTAGCAATCGAAACCCGGGTAGCGTGGTTGTGAAAGATTTTCTTACAAGGCATCTCGCTCTACAGTTTATATTTTATATTTTACAGCTTGCATCAAGCACTTTTTTGGTATTTATGCCTTTGTAGCCCCCCTTTTTTTTTTAAATTTTTTTTGGCCTCATATTATAATATAATATTTTATATTTTAAATAATTATATATATATATATATATATATATATATATATATATATATATATATATATATATATAATGCAAAATATATAACTATACATAATACATGGTAATTGTTGTGATGACCTTTCCTCTTTAGTAATTCTACGAATTTAAGCGCAGTACTAGATTGGCGGAAAGGTCTCATAGAGTTGAAATTGGTCGATCTAACCGTAAGTTCTATGCTAACCGTTTCTTCTCTGACACATCCCACTTGCCGAATTCTATCTCAATTTCTTACTTTCCAGTCAATGTTGTTCTTCAAAAATGTAAATAAAATGTCAATTGTTATCCTCTGTCTTCTTAATTCCTGTTCTTTTATTGTTCTCTCTCTCTTTCAGAATGTTTTTCTTTTTCCCATATTCTTTCACACTCAGTAACCCCCTTGCGTCTTAGTGTCTTTATTGCCTTGCTTGGCGCGAAATGATTTCAAAAAGAATAAAAATTGAACTCAAAAATAGAAGAAAAGGAAAATAAAACTAATTTCTTTTTATTAATAAATTAAACAAAGTGAAAATGTTTTTAATAATTTCTTTTGACATTCTCTTTTTAATTTTGCTTGCATAGACTTCAAATTGTCGTATACTTCAAAGATAATTGATTTATTTGCACACTATATATACGAGATTGTCTTCAGTGAAAGCAAATTATGGCAAACAGTTGTCATTTACTCTCTCCCATAACGGCGTCTTAAAATATCCAATCGCCCAAATTGCGGCCGGCCTTCTAGAGAGAGAAAACAAAGAATTCAAGAAACTCAACATTTAGACAAAATATTTATTCATAAATTTTCTTCTGAATTTTCACAGACTGCAATCAAAAAATAAAATAACGACTGAAAAATTATATTAATAATTCGGTTGTCTCTTTGTGTGTCAAAAATCGCAAGGCAGTCATAAATCTTTATTTACTACTAAAGTTCCGGCAAGTTAGTCGAGTTATATCATTTTTGTTAAAACGAGGTTCATCACATGACTACTTTCAGAAACTGCGAAACTTTTTTATGGTGGTAGCTTAATTCCGTTTCCGTTTTGTTGAATCAGTTCATTAGTGTTTTTTTTTTGTTTTGTTTTTTAATCGTGTAAAGATTTTTCTTATTTTAGGTACTCCGATCGAAGGTATTATATCGACCAGCCCAATGTTATAAAGACTGCTTATTTGTGTCATTGGTCGATGAACTACCTGTTTCTCCACTACTCGAAAAGAATCTACCATCTCAATTACATTAAAGCTTGCGATTCCTGCTTCGTGACTGAACTAGTTACGAGCGTTGATTGATATTGGTCTCCTACCCCCGGGGATTCGCTAATAATACGAGAAATAAAAAAAGCGTATTCGGCCGCATATAAAGTCATGTTCAAAAGTGCTTAGTGTCACTTCATTGTATGAAAGCATCGAATAACAGCATTCGTTTTTCCTGACTATTATGCTCAAGTTTCGCATAAAGCAGTAATCACTTATAGAATTTTGGGACACTAGAATGTGTCGCGTCAATCGAAATTTTGTTGCGTATTAAATCATTGAAACCTTGCGAGCTCTCCTTAAAAGAAAATAAATAAAGGTCAATCAATGGTATAACTCTAAAAGACAGAAAGAGGTCAACATTGATTAAAGAATATAGCATGGTATCATGTAATTCAGTGGGATACATCAGTCAGTAATGATACACGTTTAGGCGATCATGTATCTTTTGATACATGACTGACGAGGCAGTTTTTTCCCGCCGTAGGTTGCCATTTCTTGCTGCGGTAGACCAGTTGCCATCCAAGACTATAGAACTCGGTCTGTCCTGCTATTTGCCCATAGCAGTGGGAAGAAGATTCATACCTTTCTCAAGGGTATTAGCACGTCAGTCAGTCAGTTATGTGCCATGCGTCATACACGCTGAGGCGATCATTTATCTGTTGATATATGACTGATGAGGCAGATTTTTTCCCACAGTAGGTTGCCATTTCTTTCTGAAGTAGACCAGTTGCCATCTAAGGCTATAGAACCCGGTCTCTCCTGCTATTTGCCCATAGCCGTGGAAAGAAGAAGAGGATTCATACCTTTCCCAAGAGTATTAGTACGTAAGTGAATGGAATTCGAACTCGGCTCTCCGATTCCTCAATCAGAGCCACTATCCATTACTCTACTGTTCCTCCGCGGGATACATAGTAAGAAGAAAAAGATAACAGGTGGAGCAAATGGTTGCTTGAATGTAAGTGGAAAATACCAGAAAGAAAATGAAGCAGTAGATGAGGTTGTTAGTAAGACATAGAGTATAATTCACTCGCTATTATCATTCAAGTATTTCAAATAAATGTCTTTGTCCCACAGTAGAATAGCGATATATGTTATTGATTATTATATATATATATATATCTGAGACATCTGTTTGCGTGTCCGCTCCGTGATCACACTCAAATGACAAGCCCAGTGAGCTAATATTTGACATAAAACTCATATGACATCTCGTTGTGACACAGACTACGTAAGATTAACTTCTGTACTCATTGGATGTCCGTAAATAACATTAAAGAACAGATCATTTTATTTCTAACTAAATGAGGTAATTTATAACAAAATAGGTAGAATTTTGAGTTTTCTATAAAGTATAAAATAAGTTTCCATTACAAATCCTAGGGTGGATAAAATAAGGCCAAATTCGACAAACGCTTGTACTAATTTCAAAGGTTATTGTTGTATAGTCGAAGAAGAAATTAATGTTATGAACGTTTAAATTTATATTCTTTTCGTTCTCATTACATATATATATATATATATATATATATATATATATATATATATATATATATATATATGCATTCTGGACGATAAGTGGAACGTGAAATTTATGTAGTGGTTGAACTTTGCTTCATGAAATGTGACACTGAAGAATTTTTTTTCTTCGTCTTAACAACGTAGACACTGAGCACTTTTGTTTAATAATTCTGTAGGGGGGCGGCTTTTTAGTGTTTTTCTTTGTTTATTTTCACGTTCCTGTATAGGTTTTCTTAATTATTGTTGTCTGTATATGTTTTTCCATTTGAATTTTCTCTTGTTCACATGGTAGGCATTCTGTTGGTTGTGGTGACACTATGTATTTGAGGATATATATATATATATATATATATATATATATATATATATATACCGGTGTAAAATTAAAATTGTCCAAATTGTGTGACAGGAAGAGATAATTGTCCATCCTAAAAAACACTATACTAATTAAGTTTTTTCCAGGTTAATGTTTAATATCTTGACACCAAAAAACACTATACTAAGGTTAAACTCGGTTTTTCAGCCCAAAATAAGGTTTTCAGAGGACTTCGTTTAACATTCATATCTCCGGCTTCCATCTATATTTATATTAAGAGATCCAAACAATTTTTTATATATATATATATAACGATAGATAGATGATATTTGAACTTAATTTTAATATTTTATTCATCCTTAGCTATAAAATTGGTGATGAACATGTCATTTTCGTTAAATTTCATCACGGTTTTTGTTCATGGAAAGTAATTATAAATGAAAAGTCCAACAGTTTCATAAAGATTATTCAGTAAGATAAAATCATTTCTAAGATGCAACTTCAAACTAATGATAGTAACTGTTGTATTATCTGAACAATTTTGCTGTAATTCCGGCACACACACGCACACACACACACACACACACACATACACACACACACACACACTTCCATATATATATATATATATATATATATATATATATCCAATACAATGTATTATATATATATATATATACCAAATGGCATTACGTCGATAGATTTAGGATAGATGAATTATGCAAACAATATTTTAAAAATTTTAAATATGAATTCATGACTGAATTTGCACCATACTATCCTTTAGACTATAATTAATTGTTGAACATGATCTTGATGGCCATATTCGAGAACGAGATGAAGCCATGTCAGTATGCCTGTAAGCTTTCGTTTAAGATCTGGATTCGTTTTCATTATAAGGAGTTCACGATTCCAAACTTTATGTTAATGTCAATATTGGAAATTTTGTTATATTATACACTCGTCAATTCTATTTATTGTCTATCTTTACGCAATCAATCTCCGTGCATATTTCTATCTGTACAATTTGGGACCTTCGGACAGATAGATAGATAGATAGATAGATAGATAGATAGATAGATAGATAGATAGATAGTGATTTTTGTTGTTTAACAGACTGAGATAGATAGATAGATAGATAGATAGATAGATATGAAAGACTGTGATAGATAGATAGATAGATAGATGGTTAGAATCTGTGATAGATAGATAGATAGACTGATAGATAGATAGATAGATTTATCCTAGATAGATTTAATAGATAGATATAGATAGATAATTTCTGAGATATGGACAAATTATGATTGACAGATTTGTACATTCAATCAATAGGGTAGCCTGCATTTATCGATTGACATTTCCATTCAAAATCTGTGATAAATCAAACAATTCAAATAAGTAATGCAGATCTATTTCTCATCATTATGACGCATGCTTTTTAGTTATTATGGGACACCCGTTAAAATAAAAAGCTAATGGTTAGAATGCTCAAACCTTTTATCATTTGTATCACTAATTTCAGGACTCGTTTGTACATTATCTACTGCTATATTGTTTCCATTAAAATGTGAAAACAATTCAAATAAGTAATTATTATCATCATTATTATTATTAGAAAAAGAGATCATTTGTTTCATGATCATGAATAAGACTGAGATAGATAGATAGATAGATAGATAGATAGATAGATAGATAGATAGATAGATAGATAGATAGAAAGAAAGAAAGAAAGAAAGAAAGAAAGAAACTGAAATAGATAGATATGAAGAGACTGAGAAAGATATTAACAGCTATAGATAGATAGATAGTGATTTTTGGTGTTTCCACTTAATTAAACAAAAGACGGCTATTAACAAAAGAAAACATAAATAGACAAACCCCTTCAGCAAGATGTGTGCTGTGCTTGTTCAAACTATTTTTTTAATTTCCCGGGGAGCTTCAGTCAGGTATCATGCGTGATACAGTCTTAAGCGATCATGCATCTTTTGATACATGACTGACGAGGCAGATTTTTCCCCGCAGTAGGTTGCCATTTCTTTCTGCGGTAGACCAGTTGCCATCCAAGGCTACATAACCTGGTCTGTTCTTCTAGCTTACCCATAGCTCGAAGAAGAGGTTTCATAGCTTTCCCAAGGGTATTAGTACGTAAGTGAATGTATTGGATTCGACTGGAAATCGAACTCGGCTCTCCGATTCCTCAATCCGAGCCACTATCCATTACTCCACCGTGCATTCCCCGCTATCCCCATTACTCCACTTTAGTTACTTTTTTGCTTAGTTACTCCTCTTTACTTTTTGTATTTACTTAGTTTATCAAAAACCTTGGCAAAGATGTTTTTGTCACTTTGTACGCTCATATGTCTTTGATAATAATGTCTGTTCGATTTGCTTTTATTGTTAGTTTTGTGTTGATAGAAAAAATCTCAAAGAATGGTAACATGTTCTCTCTCAACTACAGATTCAGCATGATGTTTCTGCTAGTGTGCAGCTGTTTTCATCCCATACTGAAGTCAGATCTTCCAATGCAGATATTGACCTAACCTTTCACTACAGTTTTGGTACTATTCTACTATTTTGTAGTATTAAGCCTCTCAAGATATGATGATCAATAGCTTCAATGTATTGGTTATAAAACAGACATTTTAGGTCCGTACTATTATACAAGATATTAGATTGGTTGTTGCTTGGAAGCAGGATCTGCTCCTCTAGAACAAAAATAAACCCTTCAGTCTCACCCTTAAGTCCTGGATTCATCTACCACTGGTGGGTTCCAAATTGATCGATATTAACATTTTTGCCTTGGACAAGGAACTGTCTATGTCGAGTCTTCAGGCTCCACCGTTTTTGCAAGACAATTCTAATCGAAGCACGTTCCTACTTCCGCAGATAGAGACGCGGTCAAAATATGCCTAAAGATGGTGCATTCTATTGTATACGACCTGTTTGCGAATTTTCGCATCAGTTTCGACGAGTTTCTTTTTAAATACCAGTTCATTGTGTTTAGGTTCATGTCTTTCAACTTGAATAGCAAGAAAATTAATGGTAGTTATTGTATTTTTCGAATTCAATTCAGTTTTCGTTATGCCAGATCCACTCCTTTTTGATTTTTTCTGTCTTTTTCTAATGCTCCATTTCCTTCATTCAAACCCGGATACTTGTAACTACCTTCCTGATCGACTTCCTTAATGACATTAGCTACATCAATAATCATATTCTTGTCTGCTTTTCTTATTTGAAAATAGCGGATGAGTATTTACCTAACCAAAATTCCATGCATATATCATCGTTGAAACTTCACAGTTTCTTTTTTATTATTATTATTATTATTATTATTATTATTATTATTATTATTATTATTATTATTTCCTTGAAATTCTCTTGTATACACATTTCTGGGTCCCAGCTAGAGTCCTAAGGCCAAAAATGACATCATGACATGTTCCACTGATCAATTTTGTAAAAAAAAAAAAAAAACAGCCCTAAGGTCACACGCATTTTACATAGATAAAGATCTTCAAAATATGTGAACTGTAGACTATTTTTTTAAATTTCTTTACGGCATGGGTTTCCACTTGAAGATCTTGGTATTTTGATAGATTTTGAAGCTCTTCAAACATATATTACAGTCTACAGGGACTGCCATGTCAATAAGAAAACACATTTTCTTCTTGAGGTTTTTGATCTCGATGCCTGGGCGATTAACATTGATTGTTCTGTCTGTGTGTATTGTAAAGTCCCATTAAATTGTTACAGATTTTTATTATTATTATCATTATTATTAATAATAACAATATTATTATTATTATTATTACAACACTTAAAGAAGACAGTGAGTTAAGAAAAGAAAAAGGAAAGACAGTTTTTAATAAGGTTTAACAATATTTCGACAATCTGTCTTCTAGTTATGCTTAAAAAAACGCATAAAAATATAAAGAGCGAAGTTTTTCTACAAACGTCACTTGTCTTGAGAAAAACAGTTCTGCTGCTAATCAACGTGAATAAAAACGAATGAAATACAACAAGCGTGAATAGAATGCAACGGAATCGTGAGTAACAAGATGGCGGTCGAGCTGACATTGAAATTTTCCGTTAGTTGATTAGCTTGTAAGGTGGACATATTATTATTATTATTATTTTACCATTGCCTTGTGTAATACGAGTTGACTTCAAGCCAAAAGAAGACTTTTGTATCAGATGAGGTGCAATGCAATTCATTGCACGTAGAAATATCTGCAAAAGATGTGTAGTCATAACTACAAGTATTTTGTACGACCGCCAGGAATTTGTTTCCGCATTATGTGTCCTGAAATACCTTGAAAAAATCGCTACTCTATCGCTATTTACATGGCAACTGTTGAGATTAACGCTATTCTTTATGCCCTTCATATATACACTTACAGATATGAAGAAATGGGCACTGATCAGTTAAACATTCCATACCAAAACGAATCTACTAGACAACAGTGTTGTGGTTTTCCCTCCAGAGCACTGATGATAAAGGGATGCTGCCAATGATATGGATATCTCGCAAAATAATAATCTTGAACAAAAAAAAAAAATAATAATCTCCTCTATTAACACTATTTAAATAATTCGGACTATTGTTCTGTTCTTTGTTGCCATATTTATCACAACGTTTCGACTGTTGTACGCTCCGGCTTTCTTCAGTTGGCTCAAATGTCAAACTGACCCCTTTATTTCGCTCGCTGGGGTAGACTGTTCTAGTTTCACGTGCCATGTCTAATGGATGTCAGTTATCAGTTATCGCCTGTGAATTCCCCTCTTTCTATTCCTCTTTTCTTTCCTCCCACCCTTGATTCCACATCTGCTTTCTTATATCTTTACTTCTCTTTTTTTACTCTGTCTCATTTCCTGTGAGATGACTTATTAAATAGATCAATGTCTGGTCCTTACCCGACTCCCTTACTCTTAAGTTTCTTAATAAAAATAGATTTAAAATTATTCCTATCTCTTCCTTATCTCTCTAATTTTGACCCTATCTGTCTATCACCTTACATCAACTTAAAATTACCCCTCAAAAGTGTATAAAAATAATAAGTAAATTTAAAACCATTTTTCACCCTGGGAAATGTGATCAGATGAACCAGGTAAAAACCACCTACCTGGGGAAATAAATTATAATCATGAACCTTTAAGGTTGTTTGTTTTCGAATTAAATTGAATTAATATATATATATATATATATATATATATATATACATATATATATATATATATATTGGTCACACCACAAACTCGCTTTCACGGCGCTTGACGCTACATTTAAATGATAACTCTAACATTTTTAGACATTTAAAACAACATGCCTGGCCGCGTACTCAATTCCGGAAAATCCTTGTTAACAACACAACTATACTTAAACATGAAAACAATAAGCAAAAATTAAAAATTCTTGAAGCTTTATACATAAAACAGTTGAAACCTAACCTGAACAAAATAAACTATGAAATTTCCACAAATATCCTTAAATGCTTATAATTTATAACAGAAGCCATTGGTTTATACCAACGGCTTCCCATACTTAATACTTCTCGTTTTTCACCCTCGCGTGGTCATGTGTGACGCCACGAGCTGCGACGCAATTTTCGCTTCCGCGTCTTGTATATACGAGTTTGTCGTTACATGGAAATTTTCATGCAGCAAGGGCGGACTATCAGTTGTTTCGTCTGTTGTTGTTTGATTTATTGAAATTGTCATCTTTGATAATGGCTTGTGTAAGCCGAAAGCTTAGATTGGATTTAAACATGTATCAATATGGTGTTTTCCTTTCGTCTTTCAACGATAATGTGATTAAGCTTATCAGACAATATGAAAGGAACTTAATAGACAAACTTGTCTATATTATTTAATGAAACATGCATTGATATATATATATATATATATATATATATATATATATATATATATATATAGTGAACAATAGAAAATATTAAAAAAATTAAAATCTTTAGACACACTGGGTTGTATTCCTTAGTTTTTATTATTTCCTTTTGATTCCTCGACTAGTTTCGGCCAACATGGCCATCATCAGGAGAAAAATAATTTTCTGCTTTCTGGTAGCAATGAACTACAGAAATGAATGTCTTGATGGAGAAAATGAACTTTTGTCTGTAGTTTTCATTTGTTTTTTTATTTTTAACGCGAATTTTGGTCAGACTTTGTGTTGGTCAAACAGTCTCTTTTAAGTTATTACTTAAGATAAGAGCTGGGTGGATCCATGCTGCTCTGAATTCCCTTGGTCATTTCGACAGTTTTATTGGTTCCTGGAAAGGAGTTGTGTCTCTGTTAAGTGTGTGTGTTATCATTAGGGAGGGAGTGAGTATGATGTGTGTAAGCGTGTATATTCGTGTGGGTGTGTGTATAAGTGTGAGGCCTCAACACTTAAGCATGTCTGTCTTGTGTGAGTGAGAAATGTGGGTAGGTTTTGATTTGTAGTGTTATATATTAGTACTATCTATATTGTTAAATTTATAGTTAATCCCGGCTGGATAGTGCGTTTTAAAACGTTGTATCCATTTATTTTCATGCAACTCTAAAATCTCTCTCATCATAGTGAATTTGGCATGGGTTTTAAAATCGTGTTTTTCCAGGCAGAAATGTTGTTCTACAGGTAATAATCTTTCATGGGGAGTCGACTTAATTCGATTGCGATAATTATTAATTCTGTAGTGAAATATATATATATATATATATATATATATATATATATATATATATATATATGCATTATATATCAACACAGAGTTAGATGTTTAAATTACGAGGTATTGATATTTATTTATATTAGCTTTTCCCAGTACAAGACAGAATAAAAATGAATCATAGATAGAAAAAAGCTGTTTTGTATCAATTTCATCATCAGACTCAACATGCAAGATACTGTGTTTTATTTGGGCTTCAAGGAGGAAAATCTCAATAACCGTGTAGAAATCTGAGACGTACAGAAATATACACAAACATATTTACGCATACCCTTATAGAATCAATCTTATACATCATTCTTTGTTTTGCTATTCCCCAAACATATATATATATATATATATATATAAAGGTTTTTTTTAATATGGCGCAGGTAATTAAGTTGATATGCTCGTCTCTATCTTTTTATCAATAACTACCTGTTCGTCTTTCACTAATGCATGTGCAGTCTTCCCTTGATGTTCATCTCAACGGATGTCGACATCGACCAATACAAGCCTATTTGCACTCATTCACCATTCATCTTCATTCGTCCTGTTTTGTTTTTGTTTTTTGTTTTTTAATTCTGCTGCGATCTGCCAACAGTATTCTTATTATTAGAACCTTGAGAGAAGATCAATGCCACAAAGAGAACATCAATTAGTAACTCAAGGCGATTGAAATGATATTAGTAAACCCAGTATAACAAAATGTGGCTATTATTTCAGATAGACCTTTTGGCTTTTTCTTCTTTCTGCAGTGGCCAGTATTTGCCAGACATCAGAGTACCGTTTCCTCATTTGCTTCGAAACTCTGAGGAAAAAGCTAGCGGATAATAAAGTTGCATGCATGTGAGGATATATGTGTGTGTGTGTGTGTGAGAGAGAGAGAGAGAGAGAGAGAGAGAAATAGATGGAAAGATGAAATACTATAGCATCATTTCCATATATTATGCGGTGAAATAAGTAATTTCTCGGAACAAAATAAATATTAATCATTTTATTTTATTCTCTGTTAATATTTTATCGAAATGACAATCACCGAAAAATGCACACAACAAACAGGAACAAATTGTTATCAACAGTATATTACCAAAAAAAAATGAAAAATGACATTAAATATATGATGTTACCAAATTGCACAAATCTGTTAGAAATAGTAAAGTTCACAGAGCCGTTCCAATATAACATTACATAATTAAACAGAATTCTGCAGATTGACTCTAATGAATACTAGCTGCATGGGCACTTCCGATCTTCTTCTTTGTGCTGCCTCTCTTCCGAGCATGGGTGATGATGGCTCTCCACATCTTCCTCTCCTTCATAGTTCTAACATCGAGCTTTATCTCTTTATCACACCCAGGTCTTGTTCTACTAGGTCTTGTTCTATTAGATAGTCTACTTTTATTCCCCCACCTCTGTTGCATTCATTATATCTTGTGCGTGTTAAATTCTCCAAGTCCTCTTTCCTCATTTTGTGTCACAGAAATATCAGATGTCTCTTTCTGATCCT